ACCCTAACCCTAACCTTTAATTGTATTTTTATAAAAAAAGACTTATTTTGATAATTACGTTACACCTGACATAATTATGGTTACAGTAACCTACGGTTACAAATCAATTAATTCTAATTATATAATATGTAATATATATTAAAATTTTTTTATAATAAAAGTTAGTAGGTTTGTTTTTTTTATATAATAATTTAAATCAGTAGTTATGTAATTTATATAATCAATTTTATTGGCCAGTTACAGAGTTGCACAATAACAAATTGCTAAAAAATAATGATTTATAATTTTAAAACTTGTATAACTGGTGAATTTATCTAAAGTAATTTTAAATTTTGGTTTGAATTAAACCTAATTCAAGTTATTATACTTTAAATTATTTAAATAAAATTTTGTACAGATTTATATATTTTGTAGAATTTGTTAAAAATTTTTTTCAACTATAGATATAGAGACACAGATCTTTGCAGATTTTTGATTATTATTAGATTTTAAAAATTTGCACAGATCTGCATCTAAAAAATTCTTCTAATGTAGATTTTGTCAAGCTAGTTTAAATTTTCAAGTTGTTTCTATTAGTTTTATATAATTCCAGAAATTTTATTTTAAATTTACACTAACTATTTTAATTTATATTCCTTTATATAACTAGATATTACATAAATAATTCTAGAATCTTCTAATATACAAACCATATTGGTATAACTAAAGTTACAGATAATAAAACTCAACTTATTAATAAAGAACTGTAATTATAATACAAGTATTTTTATCCAAACCATTACCAGTGGAATTTGAACTTAGTACTTTAGTTGCTAGCTTGGGGTATAGCAACTCTACTATGATACTAAATTGCTATACTTATATATATATATATATATTATTAATATTATATATAATTTATATTTTTTTAAATATAATAAAATTTTAAAAAATAATTATTTTTAATACAAAGTTGTTTTTGTAGCAAATGAGTTTAAATTTAAAATTAAAATTAGAATTAAAGTTAGGCTTAAAATTATATAAAAAATATTTTAAAATGTTAAAAAATAAACTTTTTTTATTTTATAAAGGTATAAAAAATTTTTTTTATTAAATTTGATTAAATAGTTATCTTTATTGGAAGGTTTAAAATTTTCAAAATTTTGTTACAGGCCGGTTAAGATAGCTTAACCAGCTAAACCGCCAATATAATACAATATGATTGGCTAAGATTACATGATTATAATTATTAAGGTTATAAAGAAAAAACAAGATACGAGCAAACTCGAGCTAAATATTCCGAAAATTAGAGGTTAGTCAGCCACCTAGCCGACCAATGTTTTTTGACCAGCTGGCTAATTGTACACTAGGTTATAATTTATTATTGACCAACTATTAATCGTATGATCTTTATTATATCGCAAGAAAATTGGCTTTGCAGTCCTCTCTAAATGCGTCCCAGCGACATAAATTTAGTAAGATATATTTTTTGAATTATTATAAAACGATAAAATTTAGGGTTAGGGTTAGGAAATTAAGAATTATTTTTTCTTATATAATATAATACAATATAGAGCTAATATAAGGGCCCGATCTCAGTTCTCGTAAGGTTTTTGGGGGACCTGAACATTTTTACTTAGAAGACCCGATCCCGTTTACTTAGTACGTTTTTGAGAAACGGGACCTATGGTATAAAACACCATAGGTGCGTTTTAGTAAAAGTATATTTTTTTTATTCAAGAGTAAATTATTTTGGATAAAAATTTATTGCTAAAAAAATTGCAGTACCAAACAGGTTCTTGTCGAAAAACCACTTGCAATGTACAAGAAAAAATAAAAACGTGTATTACGTGATCAGATAAAATTTGTTAATTAAAATTTTTTTTATTTTTTTTCCTTGTTCTTTAATATCTGTGTGTAATATAAAAGTAACATTTAATAAATATCAGATTTGTGAATATAAATTATACATTTTTTCACAAACTTATATGATTTGTATGATTTGAAACAACATACGTTACATTATAATTTACAAATGATACTTCAAAGCAGTACAAGTCAAAACAAGTCAAAAATGATGGGAACAGTAGCACTAAAATTACAATTAATAAAGTTAACAACAGAAACACACCGAGGCTGAGGCGAACTGAGACGAAAAAAACATAATTTATTATGATTTATGGAAATTACTCTAAAAAAATTGAGCATATAACTATTACGAATTTCAGAAACTGTATATTGTCTTAAAATTTTTATGATTGGTTAATCTTTGTAGATAAAAATAAAATTTACAAACGAAATTTACCAGTCAAATTTAACAGAAATATAAGTTTGAAACATGGTTTCATCTAGAGAAGTTATCCAGCTTTAAACGGATTAGTTCGTGCATCAAATTACGTTTAAACACTGTTCTAGAGCGATTTCGAACTATGCATATGCAAATGTGTACTTGCTTGAGAATGATAGTTTAACCTGTTACTAGAATATATTAATTTGTATTAATTCATGTTTATTCATATTGATTTATTTTATCAAAGTTGTATAGTACAATATTTTATCATTTACCCAACTAATTTATCAAATCGAATAAAATTGGCAACAACATCGTTTCTAACTACGTCAATAAGTTCATTCCAGAAGGTGCTATCGAATAGAGGTAGTTAAGGTAAATAAGGTAAATAAGGTAATTAAGAATTTAAGAATACTAAGAATACTTAATTAAAAATAAACATTTATTACAATATATCATGATATGAAATTTTAACTTTATTTGAAATAATACAAAATAGTGAAGAAAATTGAATTTGAGCACTACAACTCTATTCAAGCGAAGAATTAAGATAATAAGAATTAAAAAATTGAACTTGACTAGTTTGGGATGCGAACAGAGACGAACAGAGTTTGGATAAGCAAGATAACATCCTTAGTTTCAGCGCGATTAAGACATTTAAAAATTCAGTTATATTATATTATACCATATTTAGTTAAGTTATAAATAACATATTCTACTTAATTCCGGTAAATAGGACATTAAAGTTATTTAATCCCGGCAAACATGACATAATTCCGAATATTTAGCGGAATTATTATAAATATAAGGATTTCATTTACAGTAGAATAATCCAAATTGGACGAACATGAATGACTTATCGTTATCATATAATTGAAAATAAATATATTGTGTGCAGTGATCAACTAATACCCGGAAAAATAGGTTCCGATCTAAAGATTCTTTAAAAATGGAGGTTTGCACCACCCATGTGGATATTAAATTAGATTTGGTGAAGCTTTCATATCTTTCCGGTACTCGGTGAAAATATGGAATATAATACTTAATTCCGAAATAAGGTTATTCTATAATTAATAAAATTTCCCGCTTATAGTATCTCAAATTGAAGTTAACAATGGTCATCTCTCTTAAATATTCTTTCAATCATATGGATACACCAAAAAACTTATATGGAATACTTTTATTGACAAGATTTACAATTTACGAAAAAGTTATAAAAAAACAAAATTTCATTATTTTTGAGAAATCAAAAAAAAAAAAAATCTTTTTTGAAAAAAGAAAAAAAATATTATTTTTTTTTTAAATTATATATATTTTTTATAAGTTAAAACATAATAATATAATCGCGGTTAAAAATAAAAGAAAGGACAATATGAATTTAGTACGCATTCTTCCTAACCCTATGCAATATGACCCAATTACAATACCTCAACCCTGCAGTCATCAACCCAAAATTACAATAAAAACAAATCGTCTCTACACAAAAGTTGCATGTACAAATTGCAGGAAAAAGAAAGAAAAGTGTACTGGAGAAGCAAGGTGCGCTAACTGCTGTCGACGCAACAGAGTTTGCATCTATGAAAAATCAACCAAAAAACGAGGGCCTAGACCGAAATCTAAAAAAACACCTATGCTGGTTAATATACTGAATTAACTCCGTAATATAAATAAATAACAATTATTTAAAATTTTATTTAAATTAGTTTATTATTTATTATTATTTATTTATTATTTATTATTTATTTATTTTAATAATTTTATAACTACAATTATTTTTATTTTTATCTCTATTTTTTTTTTTTTACACTTTATTTTTTTTCCTTTCTTTTGTATTTACTGTAACAACAAAATTAAGATAATAAATAAAATTAGTACACAATTACTGGCGCTTAACGACCAATAGAATGTCATAGTTCAAACATATGTTATAGAACCCAATGAATGACGCCAAATAAAAATCATTTATTGTATCATTAATATTGCGAAATTTAATTTACAATTTTTGTGATAATTTTTAATAACGCTTCGCTATCTCTCTCTTAAAGTGAAATTAACATATGTAATAATAATAATAATAATAAAAACATATAAAACATATAGGTTTTTTTTTTAGCATCATTCTTAATATCAAATTAAAAAAAATACCTATACGTAAAGTATGAGTAAATAGATTATTAAGTGTATCTAAAAACATGATTCGCGTTAATCTGAAATCACATCACCAGTTCCCCCTAAAATTTCAATGACTTACACTAACTTAATTAATGTTATACATTGACTATTGACGCTTTTGTCTAATAAATGACATGTAATTTACCTGCAAAATAATAAGCCATTTGGTAATGATCATATATATATACGTGTAGTAAGATAATGATCTTAGTAATTTTTACGGAATAATAAACTTCATCGACAGGAAACTCATGTTTAGTAACGGAATAAAGTAAAAAGGTCGGGATTTCCAAAAATTTACGCATATCATTGGGATATTTTTTTAAGGCTAATCACGATAACTATCTTTTTAATCATGTGTTAAAAGTTGTGTTAAAAGTTGTGTTAAAAGTTGTGTTAAAAGTTGTGTTAAAAGTTGTGTGAAAAAAATTTCGATAAAAAAAATATATTTTATTACATTTTTTGACTATAAAAAATTTAATCGTTTTGTTTTGCAGTATTATAATTTCAATTCTTTTAATAAATTATATAATCTCTTGATAATTATATATTGTATATCAGTCAATTTTGCTT